AAAGTTGAATCGAACACATTTTTTCAAAAGCCACATCGATATATTTGATCAACAACAAAAATCATTAAACAAGTTTTGACATTTGTAATGTAAATGAAAAATTACGTCCCCCCATGCCACTTCCGAAGGTGAAAACTTTCAATTGCGTACCATCGATCTAACTTCATATTTTCGCAAGTCCAACATGACTTGAAGTCACACATGACAACTTCGACCTCCTTTAAAGAGGACCTCCCGTGAACTCGACTCTCACGCTCAACCCGCAACCCAAGTAACTAACCACTGGTATCAGTGGTCAAAAATGAAAACTCGACACAGGAACCTATGGAATATCGAAGATCGTGGAAGCATCGGTTCTAAACCAAACTGGTGAGATTAGTATACGTGCGAGTCGTCACACTGGGGATGGCTCACCCCTTAGCCGCGTTTATGATACATTCGAGTCACATACGACGAGGCCGGTCCCCGCCACCGGTCGATGTATTCATCGTATGTAACCCGAACGGGACTCCATAAAATACTACCCTTCCACAGGATTTTGTTCGGCCGAATAAGTTATTGTAGCGCGCTCTATTTTGATACGGCGACGCCTGGCCGAGCGGCCGCACGCTGAATACCGAATGCCGCGTATATATTCGGCCAAACAAAGTGGAATTCGATTTTACCAGGCCTCGAGGAACGTTCGTACGCGCGATACGGACAATCGAGTCTCGTTTACGGGGAACGCCCTTTCGCGGCTCTCGCTTTTATCTTTTCGATCCTTGCGACACTAGCTCGCCTATACGAAGCACAGGTTCCTCTTCATCGACGGGGAAAACGATACCTTCCATCATTAGGCAATTAAGGACAGTTAAGTTCTCGCAGAAACAATGTTCAGCTTCTCGTTCACAGTAATTAATGTTAATAATAATAAATGTAATATCACCATGTAGTTTGTTTAGTTGCAAGTATTTTAATTACTTTTATCGATAGAGAAACCTTCGTGTCGGGACGAAGTTGGTTAGGTTTGGGTTAAGAAGAATGAATATTGCGATTTGTGATTTTCTTCGAGTTCCAGATATCGTTTGTAAATGGGATTAAATATAACTTTGCGGACGATTTGAAAAATATTGTAACTTCAACTCTTTATCGCGTAACTTGGTATTTAGTAACGAAAGAAAGATTTAAAGTTACAGATGGAAATTGGTGGTAACAAGAATGAAGCTTGGAGTGAGTTTTAAGTTGATTAAAAGGGTAGAAACGTAAAGAGGTTGATGAATTAAAGATACGTGCGACGTGGTAAAACTGGTAGAGCTCTTCATAGGAAAAGGTCGAGCTACATACAGAATCGTGAGCGCTTTACCGCATTAGCTATTTTAATTATAATAGTCATCTAGCTATTTTAATTATAATAGTCATGTAGTTTCGATATAATTCTTAAATTAAGATACATAAAAAGAAAGCATATACGTTATACTACAATACACTGTTTGAAACAATTAGAGGATGATTTTCGTTGAACGAACCAACCAAGAGGAAGTAAAATATTTAATTGGACATACAAATATGAAAAAGAATTTTTCACAGTTGAAATAAGAAGTAATAGTATAATAGAAATTTTATCTTTGGAGAATAATTTTCTTGTTCTCTTCCTAATTGTTAACCTCTGTCGGTATACAATTGCAAGGTGGAGGCTCATTAAAGAATTTCGCGACGTCTCGCGTCGTTTCCTCGAATTCCAGGATGCAACCCCTCCGTGTATCCGGATAGATGCAGCTGGCAACTGGTCGGCAGAACGATGCGATAAAAGGACAACAAAACGCCACGAGGCGTGACGATTAACTGAAACAACCAGGCCGACAATGGAGTAATCAGCGAGCTTTTCGACGCACACATGCCCCCGTCCCTCGGCCGTTCGCGCACCCCACCGTGCCTCTTACCATTCGACGTCGCGGGCCACCGTTTTGTTGTCGCTTCAGCAATCGCAACGATGATGCCTTGCGAACTCTTTGTCCTGTCACACGTTCTTTCGCCACGTTCTGCAACTAGCCAAGAACAATTTACTCAGACTGGGGTGAATACTCTAGACTAATTTGTGGAAATACGTATGGGGTGAAGTTTCGACGATACCTTCCTGAATATAACTTTTACTTGTTAGATAAAATAAAATAGACGTGATAACATTTCAACTGATGATCACAAGACTGTTAGAGACTGTGACAATCTAGGAGGTTTCGTTTCATCTTATTTTATCGCGGATAACGTAATGTAATATTCTGAATTCTAAGTGAAATTCAGTAGTCTATACTCTGACAACGGTATTAATTAAGAGGTAATAGTATAGATAAAGATAACAATTGTAGATAAAGTAATAAATATACTAAATAGTAGATAAAGACGATAAAGAATAAAATTAAACTTCAATGATCTGACATAAATTACAATAATCTATAGTTTATGTTTCAAACAACAAATGCTGTACAATCAACTTAGATTCAACTTCCCCTAGGTTTAAACTCGTATAAATATGAATTCTCATAAGGCATTCGCGTCAGCTGATAGAATCGAAATCAACGAAACAGTGGAAACAAACAGAAATACTTGATAATTGATCGAAGATGCAGAAGGAGAAGATTTTCGTTGGAAAGAGTGACGTGGTACGTTGAAATTAAGGAGCCGTCGGCGACGGGCCGCCGGAAAGACGGATTGTTTCATTGATGAGGGAGCATTCAGGGCCGTAGTAGTCGCCGGGACCAAAGTGGGCACACGGTTGAAAGGGGGTGAAACAAGGGGAGGAACGATGCTACGACGTTTACGAGTCCGCTTGCAACCCTCTTTCGGACCACGGTGCGCGATGAATGGTATAATCAGCGGTCGCGTGCCACCCCACAGCACGGGAGAGCAACCGAGACGATAACGGAAGGTGAGACGGATGAAGAGAGAACAGCTACTGATAGAGAAATTCCCTCCCCGGGCTTGTCGTGCCTTTGCTATCATCGAAATCGAGACAGAAGCGAACGTGAAAAAAGTCACTTAACATCCCCGTACCATCGTACGCTCTCCTCTCTGGTTTTCGGGGCTTGCAATTTCAAGTCTTTCTCGGGGGTTTGTCGAGTTCCTTTATAAGACGTTGGATTTTTAGGAAAGCAACGACGTTAACGATATGCCTTTCTACGAATTCATTTAGAAATTTTATCAACTTGCTTTTATTTGGAATTTAAATTGACAGATCCAGTTTAAGATGAATATATAATATTAATAGAGCGGTGCAATGTAACGTAATTGAGACTACTACTTTTTTTTATTAGACACGTATGTATAAATTAGTATAATCTGGATTGGATAATTGATTTACAAGAAATGTTGGAATATTTTCAGAATTTCCTGGAGCTCTCTATCCCATTCGACCTTTAATTAAATATATTAATTAAACTGTTATATTGAAACTTTCTTAATAAAACTATCTGTTTCAAATTGCGAAATAACATACTTTTAGAAGGATGGTAGATTGGAATTTAGGACATTTTCTTAAAGAAAATATTTGAATGAAAATATAGATAAAGTAAAACGAAGTTATTAAAGTTTAATTTTCTTTTTGTTTGATTGACAAACCACGATATAGATTGACCCAATTATCCTACCTCAATCTGATTATAAAAGAAGATTATGAGATACTAACATGGATTTTAAAAAGAAAATAATTGAAAGACTTAAAAAATAACAAGTAAATAGAGTGTTTTTACTTGATATTCGCTGCACAATGGTTTTGAATTTCCTAATACCGTGACGGAACATCTCGCGGAAAAAAGAGGCGTGATGTTTGCCAGCGATACGGACTAATTGAAAGTGTCAGTGTACAGATAAGGGTTTCGTACAGCGTTGTGTATGAAAAGGGACACGATTCCCCTTTTCGAGGTTCTTTCTTCTCGTCGATGACCGATAAAAATCGCGTTCACGCCCTGCGAATGACGGGGAATGTGTAACGAGGGGTGATAAAGGAACGCCGGCGAGAACGACAGTCGAGCGTGGCGATTCATTCACCGTCGTGTAGTGAATTTATGATCGAGTTAATAACAGAACAAACAGCTGATTGCCTTCGATAATTTCAACCCTCGTTCGTGATCCCTCTTTTCCACTACCATTCGATTCGTTTCCATCTGTTCATAGCTAAATTTCACTGCAAATTTCTTTCTAATCTCTCATTATTTCCATTACTACTAAACAGGAACTTTATAATATAATATTAATTAATTAAAAAATGATCAGTCTTAAAGAAACTTAAAAAAAAAAATAAAGGATGGACGATGAATTTATTCTTTTTTTTTTTTTAATTTCTCTTGACTCTTATTAATAGTAGAAATTGCTTATGACTATATATATGTTTGTAACCGTAATATCAATTAACAAAATTATTTTATTACTTCATGAATTTTTCTCTGAATTCTTTAATTTCTAAATTAGAAGTCAGATAGAAAAGAGGATAAAAAGACTTTGAATATGAATTAATGCAGGCGAATGTATGTAATAACGCATTATTGTTATATTCTTAATATAAACACGGATTTACGATGAATCTATAGAAACCGTGTATCATAATAAGTATTGTTCTAAATTATTATTTTACCATTAGCTTGTATATTTCAATAAAAATTCACACATTCTGTCATATTAATTTATCTACTCGAGAGAGAATAATGAGACTTTCGAAGAAAAAGAAAGAAAGATGAAAATAGTTAGAGTAATATTTAGAAATCGACCTTTTCCCTTCTGCCTTTCTCATTATTTCATTTTCTCGTCGACTTTTCTCCCGCCTGACACAGATACAACCCCCTTCTTCACCCTAGTCAGATGAATATTTCGGAACCTTCCGGAAATTCGACGACACCGAACGGCACAGCCGTTTCTTTATGAAAGTTGGAAATCGCCGAGATGTTGCCACTAACACACAGCCCTCTTGTCTCGTTTTATACCTCTTCTCTTTATCGTCTTATCAGTGGAGAAACGTCTTCAGCCTCGCGTCCCTCTTCCATCGTTTTTTATTTTTTTTTTTTCCCAGCAAGACATTGCAGGCGCTGATAACATTTATTTCGAGAAATGGTCCGCTCGCTCCACGCCTCTATAACAACCGAACAAAGCGAGAAAAAATTCTTCGTTTATAACACAGTCGCTGTAATACACAAGATTGTGTATTATTGAGGGCGTCGATGACGATGGAAAAATTTCTAGGTGAAGAATTATCCGTTTATTGAATGATTGATGATATCTCGTTATATTTTATAAAGGCTTATTTGAAAATAAAGATGTATGTTTATTGGGGGAAATAATACCGGTTTTGGACATAACTATTATCGATCTATTTTAACTAGATAATAAGATGCAAAAGAAAAAATTTATTTAGATACGCCTGTTTCTGATCCATCTGTTTTGATTTTTCCTTTTCCTTTCTGTACCTTAGATAACAAATTCTTATGGTTATATACGTTGTTATATATTCTGTAAGTATGATAACTAGATCCTGATTGGTGATAATTCTTTAACTACTTTAACTATTATTGACAAATGTTGTCTAACTATAGTCTTGTCTAACTATTTAAAATATTCAGTCATTTCTTGTTTCTTACGCACTTGTGGAAAATTTAAAAATGCAAAAATACATGAAACACACATACATTTGAAAATATATAAGATATTCGAAGTACAATACTCGTTTCAATATTTTGACAGATGAAACAAAACTTTGCCTGGATCTTATTTCATTAATTATCTTCATTTAAACATTTAAATTTGCACAAGAATCGGTAATTTAGTCATCGATATTTCGAGCTGCATTTCTTCGAACATTTCCTATTTCGTAACACTTTCTATTCCATATTTAAACAATTATGGTCGCCAGTAACTAATTATCCGAAACAACTTGCCATTTAATAAACAAACTAACTGCCACGTTATCAAAAACCATCTCTACGAGTCTCAGATCCTCCGAACGCAAGTTGAAAATTCAGTGAAAAACGTCTGATGTCGCGTCTGACGCGCGACGGATCTATTCTACTTGCGGACGCGACGATCAATTACGTTGCCGCGATTGTCTAAAAGCGTCGATGTCAGCCAGATACGAGCTGACCAGATCGCGGACCAAAAAGGTCAGAAAAGCGGTAGTACGATAATCTGCGTGACAGACACATAGTGAGAGTCGTGGCCCGGCTGGGTGGCCAGCGTATTTACACGACGAAGAAACATTTCGCTGAAGAACGAAGAGAGAAGAAGCACACCTCCACCTGTTGAACGCGCCTGTATCCTCTGGCCGCCATGTCGACGAAGGAGCCAATCGTGAATGTCCATTAGCCGCGGACCGTAGTGGGAGAGTGGAAACATTCCTGGTTGGCCGATCCTTGTCTCCCCCGCATCCCACGGGACTCCGGCTACTTCACTCGTTCTCGATTCCACCCTGGCTCATCCCAGACTCGACGTCAGAGAGGTCCTGACGGATCCTTGCCAGTCCTCGCCACGATATCAATCACACAGCTTCGCCACGGTTAACTCGGTGCCAGTGTCGCTGTTTCACTTTTCACGAGACACCCAGAACCCAGGGTTCAGTTTAATCGAATCGAATTCGACCTTCGTCAAATGTTCGCACGACGTTGAAGAATGACACACACTCTCTCTCTCTCTCTTTCTCTCTGTGAGTGGCTGATGAGACGAGAATCAAATTGAAAGAGCAACTTTCGTGTGAGCTTTCGAATCCAATTGAAAGGGGCTGCGTGTGACTTCTGAAGACGATTCTGATCGGTTAATGAGAAGATCGAAGGAGGAAGTTGATGACAGTTTGGGATAGTCACGAGGATTTTGATTGGACCTGTGATTGGAAGATTGGAGTCGAATCATCGTTGAGCATGTGGAAATTGTTCGCTTTGACGACCACGTGATCGATACGGCGGCAGGAAGGTGTTGTGTACGACATTTGGCAAGTTTAGCGTTTTAATGACGATGACGGACAAGAATAGTGGAGAAAGGAATTGTTTATCGATAGAAGAATGTGAGAGAATGATATTGATACAGGATAGGAATTAAAGGGAGATCTGGTAGAGGGGATTGATTGGAAATCATTGTAGATCATAAATCAGCATAGCGATCAAGATGTCATCGAAAACGCTTCACAATGAGCATATCAAGCGTCCGATGAACGCGTTTATGGTGTGGTCGCGGGGACAGCGACGGAAAATGGCTCAGGAAAATCCGAAGATGCATAACTCTGAGATTTCGAAGAGGCTTGGCGCAGAATGGAAATTGCTCAGCGAAAGCGAGAAACGACCGTTCATTGACGAAGCGAAAAGATTGAGGTGAGTGTCGAAACTTTATTAAATACTATAAAGAGTAAGCAATCGTATCTTCCTTTATCAATTACAGAAAATTCTGCATGACAGCACGACATTTACCAAGTTATTCTGTTTAAAAAAATTTGCTAAATTCACGAAACTATATATATTCTAAATTATATTAAAAAATATTATAATATTCATTCTACATATTATAAAACGTATTATACTTTCGCCAAATTTCTTCTTCCCTAAAAGTATTTAAGAAAGTATCAATAAATCTTTGGAAATGTTAAACTATGTAGTTCATGAGTGAAAACATCTCGAGAACCAAATGGAAAGTTCATTATCGTTTTCAATCAATGCCAAGGATTTTTCTTTTGCGCGCTAATTGCTCTTTAGTCACGAGTGGGCGAACAAAATTATCGCATCGTGGCGTATCTGCAATAACCGTGAGGGAGATGAAAAACGAAAAGGGGGAATCTCGTAGTTCATAATACGGTACATTGTTGCTAAAGCTAAGGGCGTGCTACGCTAAGCCAAGGGGTGGAATAGGGTGAACGAAGTGGTATTTATGGAGGTGGAGGGGACAGCCTCTTTATTACCGACTCTGAATATTTAATCATTGTTATGAGTTTATTTAGCTCGCCGTACGATGAACAGGTCCGAGAGATTTTACGATCGAACGACATTTTTATCATTTCTGTTTCACTCTTCGCTCTATCGAGGGAAATTAATGAAGAAATGATTGCTACTACGAATACAATATTCTATTATGGTCAAATTATCAAATAATTTATCAAATCCCCTAAAAACTTACATTATTTTAAACTTTACTTTCATTATTTCAATCCTCACATTCTCTCTATTACGTTCTTCGGATTATTTTAAAACCAACCATGCTTTTAACAAATTACTCAAGTAGAATTGTTGTTGATATACATGACCTTTGATCTCAATTATATGTAAAAATTATTCTCTGTTGAAAGTTTAAAAAAAAATCTTTCTGCAAGAGTAAAATATTTTTGTAATTTGAAAAAGAACTCCAATTATTTTTACATTAAGAAATAATAAAGATAAAAAGAAGTTTGAAGTAATGAAGTTATATAAAATGTGCTGAAGTGTGTAGTATGTTTTGAAAAAATTTCTTTGAATTCTTGGCGAAACGTTAACAAAGGCAATAAATAAAGAGAGACAATAAAAAGAAATCTAGACAAAGATACTCGGCTATAAGGGAATAAAAATGAAATAGAGCAGGGACAGAGGGGACACAGCCGGAGGAATATTAATTTGAAAGAACGATACGCAAACTGTCGATGACAAAATCGAGATAGCGAATTAATAGGAGGCGGTTAGGATTGAATTTTCAACTCGCGGAATCACTCTCGCCACGACGACGGAGCTCGTAAAACAAATAATAGAATGATAAAGTCGCTTCTTCGTAAATCGTCAGTTCACTTTCAATTACCAAGTATTCACTTTTTCTTCTTTCTCTTTCGTTCGTGCTAGATCGGTTTCGAAAAAAAGGGGGAAAAATGAAAAATATAGGAAGGATAGAAGAAAAGAAAATCAATCAGCTCGGTCGTGAATTCTATCGACGGAATGTAACACGGAATCCGCTTTTCTGTCGGTGACCGTGATCGAATCCAACAAAAGGAATTATGAAGTTTCGCACTGGCACACGGTCCGTGTCAGTTGTGATTCGATTCCTTTTTTCACGGAATCGAATATTGCCTTTTTCAATTGCCGAGTGAAAAATATTGTCCCGTTTAATAGACGCTGCTGGGCTATCTTTTTCAAAAGAGGATAAAACGTGTCTTCATTGTTATGCAATCATCTTTTATTCAGAAACAATCCGTAGGGTTTTAAGGAAATTCGCACGTTCAAATTCTCAAGAAAAATCCGATGAATAAATAATCCATACATATTACTTGTTACAGAACAAAATACGGTATAGAATATAATTGAAAAACTACATTATAAAATGTAAGACGTCTGTATACATACTGTACTATAGTCACATAACCGCGCTGAAATTGTTCCAGCATTTAACTCCACTTGTTCAACTTTCTAATTTGAAAAAAACATGTGCAACGATAAATTTTCACCTACAATTTTAAGAGTTAAAAGTCCTTATGTTTGTTGAAGTAAAAGTGAGATGAAATGAGACACAAAAATTTAGAGAATATTTGCAAGGCTCCCTCACACAATTGAACTAATATTATCAGTGTAATTACACAAGCTAGAAATTAGCAGTATTAATTACTTGTACAAAGTAACAACATTTTTCGTGATAAAAAATTCACTTTAATATTTATACATAAAAAAACTTATACAACAGAAGAACACGCGAAATATGGAAAATATTCAAAGTATTGTATAGCAGTCTAATTATCACTTAGCAAATTGCATAAGGGAACCCAAGCACGTTCAATCCCTCCCCCCAAAAAAACAACCCCCATTAAAACAAAGGGAAAATCGTTCCCTTTCGAGACTTTCGATCTCAAAAACGGGACTGGAAGCCTCAATATTCATTCCGTCCGCGGAAAGGTTTCTCGGGCAGAGAGATAGAAGAGTCAGGAGAGGAAAATTTCGGGGAGAGACGTGTAACGGCGAATCCGCTTTTCTGGGGCGGGTAGCAGCATCGCTGACGATTCTGGTAACGGTATCGTGCAAAAACGAGCGGGGGATGGTCGGTAGAAAAGAGAAAGAGACAGAGCGACAGAGAGAGAAACGGTTGTAAAATAAAGAGCAGAGGGCCCGATAAAAGTCGTTCTCCTGGAGCCACGCTCCTGGTAGGAACGGGTTCCCCTGGAGCCAAGCCGTCACTGGCCCGACGTAATCTGTCCGTTCGTTCACGGCGACTCACAATGTGGCCCCCGAGATAACAAATAAAGCCCCATTGTCGCAATTGTGTGGATTTAAAAGGATTTGCGCGGCTCCTCTGCCGGCCCCTACCCTCTCCGCCGGCCCTGCTCCCATCCCCTCGGTTGCTGTTCGTTGGCTGTGCCGCTGCCACTACTGCTGCCTGTCCTACGATTCCCTCCTCCTCAACCCTCTTTTCGCCAGGCTTCTACGGACGCTCTGTCTACCCCATTGCTGTTTGTGCACCGAGGAAACGGAGAAGGAAAGCGACCGGGATGAAAATTCTGCATCGAAGGGGTGGCGAAATGTTCGCCAATTAGACTCGGTTAGTGCGGTGATCGGTAGAGTAAGGTGAGACGGGTTAAGATTAAAGGATAAAGGTGATAGGTGACGAGACGTTGAAAATTTTTCTCTCTGGCTTTGGAGAGTTTTCTTGTGAAGATCGTCGAAGCTTTTGAAAATAGATGCAGGTGAAATGAAGATTATAGAAGAGAAGCAGCCAGAGCGAATCACGTTTCCCACTTTTTTTATGGGAGATTTTAAGATATAGCACATTACATTAAATAAAAATCTTGACAGTATGTAACATTGAATAAACTTTGACATGTCAATATACTCGCTAGATGTTAAATTAAGAAATTCACGGTTAATCAATCCATTTAAATTAAACTTCAGCGTGGTAAGCGTCAATGATTTATTGCCATGTGTTATGTATTGTAACAAAGTCACCCTCCTCAAAAGCAAAATAAACGAAACAAGATCAACGCACGAGATGTTCTAATAATTTTCAAAAGTACCAATACGAAGACTAATTATCGCTCCACGATCGATCAAATCGGTGCAACCGATATTCGGTTATACCAGTCGCGAGAAGACCGACACGGGGACCATCGGGAAAGTCCGTCGATCGTTGGTCGGCACAATGACATTTATGACGAATCGTTACACTAACGACATTCGCTAGGCCACCAGAGGACAATCGTGACTAATTGTTATTGTTTCTTGTTGCGGCGGCCGCGAGTGCAACTACCGCGCGGCTTATGTCCACCGATATGATATAACGCGTTGTTTATCGCACGGTTGGAAGTGGGTGCGCTCGGCTGCTAGCTCTGTGGCAGTGTGCTATTGCCCTGGCGCGGATGGTGGTGGTAGAGAGGGTTCCCAGCGAATTGTAAAGATTACGCCCGATGTTTATGCATTTATGCTGAATTATTGTCGGCGGGGCTTTACCGATGTTTATGCTGATTTACGCTTTGTGCTATCTGCCGGGACACATTGTCCCGGAATTATTATTCCGTTGCGTCACTCTCGCCGCGAGGAACCGAAATTTCGGATTTCGTTCGCGAGCTGGAAAATTCTCCACCAACGCCATGGTACATCTCGCGGTTCGTTTCGACCGCGTCAAATACCAAACAAACGGTTTCACCGATGTGCACGCCGAGTTCCCTCGTTATTCCCATCGTTCGTTTCGAAGAATCGATGCCACGCTCGGAACGTGCAACAAGACGAGTCGTGCAAAATCGCGTGTATTATAATAATAACGCGAACTCGCAACTGGGCAGAAAAAAAAATCTTGCGATTTCTTTATAAAGTAGTTACATATTTACACATATTTATTACATTCGCGCGCTACTTAATTAGATCCGGATATATATTAAATTTTGCATCATTTTAATAGCACTTTCATATACAACGCTCAACAATATTTTATACAACACGGATAATATACTCGTAAAAAAAAGTTTACACAAGTATTCAAACATTTTCACTGTACAGAAAGTAGAACGTATTGAGACTAAAATCTCTGGGCGAGATGGTCGAAGTAATTCGATGTGGTTGTGATTGTGCGCGCGGTTTCCGCCCGGATTCTCCAACGTGAAACGCCTAGGCACGTAAAAAAGAGTTCCCGCCCGTGAAACACCTATCTCGCTCGCTTTCTTTTATCTCCGTGAGGCGAAGCATAAATAAGGACTGCGTTTGTGCGCCTCTTGGGTACATAATGGAGTATTATGTGACGGAGATACCACGGGCCTCTGACTCTTCCCTTCTACCCCTCACTTTTACCAGCCCCTCGACAACAAACGTGGCGTTTCGACTGCGCCTCCAGCCGGGGTGTGTGTACAAGATATTTACTACAAATACCCATGGTGTCCCGTATCGTGTTCTAGTGCCACGATAATACGTCCCTTTGTACGGATAACGGTGTCGAGAGCAAAGTTTACCGAATTCTCGAGTGTCTCGTCTCGTCTCGCGGGCGATTCTTCGCGTGATAACACGGATTATCGAAGATAGATAGAGCACAAAATCATTATCTAAGACTGTGCAAACACTAGCTCGAACATTCCTGTTTTAATAATATACGGTATATTTATTTAGATTATATTTACCTTTTCGGTTTTTGAGAAGATTAGAATTAATATTGATTTTTATTAATGCAGAAATATATAGGCACGTACATATATAGGTACAGTACGTTATGCTATTTCAATTATAAACGCTTGTGACATGATATTAGATGAATTAGTTGTTTTATTTTCACTGCGATATATTCTTTATATATTTATATTTGACTTTCTATTTTTATATCATAATATCTATATTTTCTCATGACTTGCACACATCTATAATCAAATCTTTATAAAGTAATAAATATAGAATACTATTTAATGAAAACTGACTTACACCACTGTGATTCTTAGCCCTTCGTACAATTCTCTTTTTAACTTACAATTAGATTTGTAATATTCGTATCTTTCTTTAAGATACTGTAATTTATCGTTTCTTAAAGAAAAAGAAAGGAACAAGATTCAACAAGAAGATGCGATTCACTCGCCGAACGTATACAATGTGTAACACGAAAAAAAACATTTTCATTGCAGAGCCCTCCACATGAAGGAGCATCCAGACTACAAGTACCGGCCGCGCAGGAAGCCGAAATCTTTAGTGAAGAAGGAGAACAAATTCGGTTTCTCGATATCGCCGTTGATGTCCTCGGGTGAGACCTTGGGCAATATATCGAGAAGCCTCTTGCCACCTCTGGCACCGCCGTCGCACCATACATTGATGAGTCACGAGGATCTCAAGATTCCTCGCTTTTTCCCGCCGTTTCCGTACCCTCTGTATCCTATACAACACAAATTGGGAGAAGAGTTCAACGGTGGCAAATTAGCCGCGGATTTGGCGCTTCAGGCTCTTTACGGAGGTGGCACCTTCTATTCGAGCCATCAAACCATGTCTTGGCCAGGTTTGTCAACCGCGGCTTGCCTTCAACCCAATTGTGGTTGCCCAAGCCCGCCTAAAGACCCGAAAAGGCCGTACTTACCTACTAAATTAGAAGAAAGACCTTTTCCTAGTCCAGGTAAACCGGAAGAGGATGGATTCCCATCGGACAGAGACTCCAGTAGGGAAGAGCCTCGATATAGAAAACTCGACGAAGATACGTACTCGTCGTCGATGGACAGACACCAGGAAGATAGATCTCAAGACAGATTTTCCTCGTCTTCATCATCGTCACCTACCGATCACACGGAGAAAGTAGTCAACAGCGTGCCAACGTCAACGCCGACGACGAAGGTCGAGAGCGCGTTCTCGGTTCAGAATCTGACGTCGTCCAGCTCGAATTTGGGGAATCATCGCGGCCACGTCATATGAAGACCGCTTCCGGTTCTCCCGGATCTAAACTTCCGGGGGAACCTGGTACCACCTGGATGGCCAAGCACCGAATGGTGGAGAGTACCACCGATGTTGTCGCCGATTCCTCAAGCCACGGTGACGAATTTAAACGCACCGGCGAAGGACGACGAGGTTCAATACCAAGAGGAACAGCAGAGAAACTCTCTGATGGCCAGGTCGAGGAGCATTCACATTGGAAATGTACAGTGATCGTTGACGTCCGAGGAAACTCAGGTTCAATTGGAAACTGTACTCGAAGGTTCATAACGAAAGTGTATATGATGTAAACGGAATTTAATACGAGATAAGAAGTTTTAATTGGTAAAAGTGATTCTTACGAATCGGAGATTTCTATAGAACCTTATACCGTCCTTCTTGGTTGAAATGTTCTATCTGTCGTTCTGAAATTTTATAATTTTTCTTTTCTTTTTTTTTTCATTTCGTTTCCAATTCCCTTCGCTCAACTTGAAATATATGTATTTACATGTAATATAACTTTAATTACTGTTAAAAGATAAAAGACACGGGAAACATATGTTTAAAGAGTGGAAAAACGCCAGATAGGACATTTTAACAAAAAAGGTATAAAAATACATGTAGAAGAACGTGTGAAATGAAAGATGAGCGATGAAGATCGTCGATCGTTTATAACCTGTTGCGTTGTGTGATAATTCAAACAGCCCTACTTAATGTTTTTTTTTTTTTTACAATTGTATATATATATATATAAAATATCTGGAACTGCAGAAACCCGATTGAAAATCTTAAGAAGTTCCCAGTGCGTTTGATGACCCCGGTGCGTTTCCACGAGGATGTCCGCGAGTGATCTTACTCTTGAGAGTTACAGCCGTTGCAAGTCTTTCGCACAGAACGAGTCGAACGAATTCGACGAGAATTCGTTATGCGAGCCGACGGTGGATACCAAAGCCGAATCGATAACTCGCCACGGTCAAAATCCTACAAAGAGAGAGATGCGAAAGGGTCCTTTCTGGCAAAGCGTGTACAAGGATGCCAGAGAAGAGTCCAATTTTGATGAGATAACCAACCCTCTCGGTGGCACATATTACCGCGCACGCGAGCCGAAAAGCGGCACGGTAGGACAGAAAAGAGCCCCCATACGAGCGAAGAGAGGTAGGAAAAAAAAAAAGAAATAAAAACCCTCTTCGAGCAGAGGCAAATCTCTTCTTTGGGGCGCGGCCATGCGAAATAAGCCAAACGTTCTGAATGCTAACGTAGATGCGACACAGCGGACCTGTATACGCGTTATACCATCCACCCCCCGCCCTCCCTCGCGAGATGATTTTATTGCGTCGCGCATCGATACTGCAACTCCCTGATATTCTCCCCTGTCTTTCTCAATTTTCCTTTTCTCTTCTCCGTCAGTCGTTTATTTTCCGTTACCAACCTTGTAATTACTAGATCGCCGGCTGCCGGTGTTGATTGTGAGGGAGAGATTGGTAAGTGAGTCGGCGAGATGAATTTACGATTATTTTTAGGGCTTTCACAGAGATTTGGAAACCTTGCGATATCTGGATATCTCTCTTGTACAATTTTCTTTTCCGTAACATTAACAAACTTCTTGGCAAAGCAAGTGGATTTTTATAAATCGCGACTATTCCACGTAAATTTTTAAGAAGGACATTTGTAATTTATGACTCGCAACATGTTATATTAGTTGATTAACTTAATTACTGTGCAAGAGGATCATGTTTGTTACTATTGTGTTTTTTTTTTTTTTATGTTATCCATAGTTTTATCGTTGTTTCGTTTTCGTTTCGTTTCGCAAATGTATAATTGGTGAAATAGCTTGTAATAAATTGAATGCGGATATTTATGTACATATACAGAAAAATACGGAGAACGCATAAAAGTAAGTTTCTTCAGTTGCGTTCGTAAAAATGTAAATTTACACAGATACCCGCAGTCTAGTAACAAATAATATACAAGACTGTATACTTAAGTAACGGTTAATTTCGTAATGCAACAAGAGCTACGACAAAAGATTAAAAGAATGTTAAAAAACGATTCAATTGAAAAATATTCTTTCTCATAATTCTAAAATGTCGAACACTTTGTTCTTTTTTTTTTTTTTTTTTTTTTTTTTTTGGACCGTATAGAAACGTACAAAACAGTAATCTGTTACTGTGAAGCTTTAAACGATTGGCCAGTAATAATAAAGCGTCCGATTCGAGTAAATTGTTTGCAGACGCGCCATTCTGTCCGCGGATTGTTGAATTCGTTGCCGGCCCCCTCTGCACCTCCCCCGTTCACGCAGTTTTATTGCAGCTGATTTTTCGCGATCGACGCGCAACCGTATATTCGGAATTTTATACGCTTGTTTTGTCGCGCGAGACACGTATTTTTCGGCGAAAAATTTCGATATCGACCACGACGATCGGGAGCCTCACTACAGACCAGAATGGAAACTAATTCCCACGCACACTTCCCTCCGCATCTAGAAATTGTATACAGTTAACACACCGAAAAAAAAAAAGAAGAAAAAAGCGGAAAAAGAAAATCGTAACGATCGTAGAGAATCGACGATATAAAAAAAAAAAAAAAAAATAAAAAGAGTATAATGTAAAGCGTATTATAAACGGATAGAAACATATCTTCTCGATATTTACATAAGTTCCTCAACTGTCATTTATTTCCAACGTTAAACAAGAGAAAGAATGAGAAATGTAGAGGATCGTGTAGGAAATTTCCATTAAAATGACTGCGTTAACGCCTCAGGCGATATGCACGTAATCATTGTTAATTATTTGCTGTAACATAACGCGACGTTTGTAAATAAATTGAATCTTAATCGAAATACACTTGACTTTCCTATGCTATTTCTCAGTCATGTGAATAGATCCTTCGATATCACATATTTTTCTCAAACATTTCTTGTAATCTTTGAATTCTTAATACAGTAAAACCCTGAATTAATCACGATACACTCAGAGAATCGAATTTTTTTGAACAATCTCTAATCTGTAGAAATTTTCAAATGAAAGCGCAGCAATTTTTTTCTGTTTCTATTCCTGTCTTTTTCACAAGAAACCATCCCTTGATTATTCACTAATTAATATTCGTAACAATCGGTTGTCAATCAATCACGCAATATCACACCGCTATAATCGATCGATTTATCACATTACGAATGTGATTATCGTATTTTACCGAAATATTACAGACAATTACATCTTCGTGAACTGATCCTTGACACACGAAACGAAAAGTAGTCAAAATCGATCAAGAAACCATCGGAACGTATCTTCCACGTATTTGTAGAACTAATCGGAGGTTATGTGAGGGAGGAATCGTTATAGGGGAAAATCTAAAGAACGAGAAGGAGGAACTTCCACGCCTCCCCTTCGACCCTCGATCCACCCCTCCGTTGCGTCGTGTTTTATTTCTGATAGCGACGCCTCCGTCGTCGCCGCGAAGACATTATCGCCACCGCGAAGGACCTTTTCTTCCCCCATAAAGGCAATCACGCTTTCTTCGTGGCAGAGATAACAGCAGAATGGAGAGCCAGAGACGTCTCCGTTCGCGCCAGCGAATTCCACCACGATTCCATAATTCTTCGCTTGGCCACGGATCGAGCAAAACGATTCTTTGCACTTTCTTTTCTTACTGCGAATCGAATTCCGTGAATACATACGAGCATATTGCTTCTTACGACGATTTTCATTGTCCGTATTGAAATTCTGCGAAGTACAGTTGATCGTAATTTTAGTTTGAAGTAACACGCGCAATGCGATGATCAACATTCGCGTTACTTATTCATCATTGTAACTATACAACTGTGGTTACAATCTTCTTGAGTTTGATATTTTCGAATTCACAAAGTTGTGAATTTTTCCGGGAATTATTATATCATCAAAAAATAATAATGATAATGAAATGAAAGGACATTAATTTTTCGAATTATGAAATATGAAATATCCTGAATTAGTATATTGAACCTGAGCTAATACATTATTAATACAGTGACAGAATACCCCAAATTACAATCTTGTAATTGTAACCCACTGTAAATTCTGGTTTAAATGTTGCAAGGTGTCCGGAAATCCTACCAAGCAATCTTAATTCTTAACTCTTGGGAAAATGTCGCAGTTCGCGGAAGAAGAAATAGTTCGATGGAAAACGTGGACGTTTAAAATTTGAAGAAGGGCACGAGGAACGACCGGAAGCCCGAAGAACCGGCGTAGACTCGAAATGCACGATGGGTGTTCCGATTCGAAAGTGATTACATTTGACTTGGATTCGTGCCTCCTTACGGCAAAGGCAGCCTCTGCCGGTACAGAGCCTCGGCAACGAGGACATTCTTCCCCGACAATACCTCCCACAATCGAGCGAGCAGCACTTCCGCGCATACTAATGGAGAGGCGCCTAGACTCCTTTGGCCAGCCAGTAGTCGACGCCCCAATTCACCCCATTTCACCCCTTTGCGCGCCACCGTGGAAAACTTCTCCGGTGAAGACGTACCCTCTCCTCTAGTTTCTAGCACAGAAACACCACCGCGCGATAGATTTTTTTCCGAGAAAGTCGATTTTACGTTCCTCGATTACTTTCGCAACGTGGGACAAACATTAAGGATGAAGCATGTAAAAATGTCAAGTCGTTGTATTTTTCTTTTTCCTTTTGATAGAAATTCTAGAATAACAGAATTTGTATGTACCTAATTTCTAATATGCACTTAAGTATATTGGTAGACTAAGATGGAAAGTGGAGAATAAGAAGGAACCGATATCAATAAAGAATTATACTTATATAAGTATATATATATAAGTATATATAAGTATATATATATATATATACTTATATATACTTATATAAATATAATAAAGAATTATATTAATTATACTTTGATCTTGATAAAAGTGAGCCTTAATTTTATTAAAAGAAAATTGATCTTTCTCGTAAGCGCATATATAGATGCTACTTTGTATTCGTCTCTCTATTCGTCTTTACTCTATTCTATTCACGTTCTTGTAGTAACCTTATCTTATTTTACATATTACAGAAGCCGCAGGAAACAGAAATTATTTCACGTATATACAAAGGGAAAGGTATTGGTGCCAACTACCTAAAGAAATTTTTATATTTTAAAACTTTCATCGTCGTGTCTGCAAACTTGTGTGTCGCCTTAACTCGTGTTACACAATATCCATCTCGTCACTTCGAAAGAATCGGATGACGGTTGAACGCGAAGGAAACGAGCAGAGGAGAACGAAGGAGACGAAAGCAACTCGATAGACGTTTTAATTGCGTCGGTGCGCAATTATATAAGCGCTTTTGTAGACGCCGTGTGAGAGTGAGCCGGAGCGCATCGCACGAATCGTTTGATTGCGGAAAATGACGGGCGGCAATGGTGCGAGTGGAAGTTTTGAGTGGGCGTCGGTCCTGGCAGACAATGAGGCATTCAGGGGTGGCATTGTCGGGCCGACAACTGCGTTACCGTAGACAAACCCGAAATC